TGCTACTGACATAGTTGTCCCCCATGCTGCCTCGGTGTTATCGCCACAGACTTCCCTCTCGCCACTGCCGCACTCGTTCTTTCGTTCCCCCCGCAACCCGGCCCCCCGGGTGTCCTCGCTGTGTGGCCCGATCCGGGCGTGGGGCTCCTCCGTGCCCCCTCGGTAACCCCTCGCCCCCTAAACGGGGCTCGGTGCGGGGCGGCCCCATCGGCTGGGCAGTGGGATGTGGGCTCTTCTGAGCCCTGTCCCCCCCACTCACCCCAAACCCCCACGAATCCCGCCATGCCCTCATTACCAACCCCACTAACGGGGCGGCGGGTGTGGGTGCTGCAGCGGGGCTGGGCCAGGAGCCACAGCCCCATTTAAGCCACAGCCCCTCACATGATGGGAGCATGACTGCTCAAGCCTGAGCACCCGGCTGTGAGCAGGATGGTGCTGAGCAGAGCGTGGCCCTGCGGGGCAGCCGGCGGGGGGGTGTTTGGGGGGGGTCTGCCAGGGCTACCCCCCGGCTGCGAGCAGCTCATCTGTCCATGCAGGCATCCAGGCTGGTGGAGCTGCCCTACTCCTCCTCCTCCGACGATGACAGCTCGCTGGCTGGGGACACGGACCTTCCCGCAGCCGAGCAGGACCCTGGGGCTGGGGGCCCCGTCCCCCCCAAGCCGGGCACATCCAGCCAGTGCGTGCGGTACCTGGCCTTCCTCTGGAACTTCCTCTTCCTCCTGCTGGGCCTGCTGGCCCTGGCCGTGGGGGTGTGGGGGCTGCTGGCCAAGGGCTGGCTGGGGGGGGAGCGCCTGGCCCCGCTGGGCTCCGACCCCATGCTGCTCTTCGTGCTGGTGGGGCTGGGGGCCAGCACCGTCTCCCTGGCCGGCTGCCTGGGCGCTCTCCGCTCCAGCCCCTGCCTGCTGCGCTTCTTTGTGGGGGCCGTGCTCACCTTCGTGGGGCTGGAGGTCCTGGGGGGGCTGCTGCTGCTGGTGGCACGGCACCGGCTGCGGGACGCCCTGCGGGACGCCCTGCTCCTCTGCCTCCTGCGCTACCAGGAGGAGCCTGACCTGCGGTTCCTGGTGGACGAGGTGCAGCGGAGCCTCGAGTGCTGTGGCCTCGGCTCCTACCATGACTGGGAGACCAACCCGTGAGTCGGGGCGCCGGGGGGGTGTAATGGGGTGGGATTGCCCATCCCCGCACTGGGAAGGTGCGTGGATCCGGCAGCTCTCCTTGCCTGTCCCCGCAGGTACTTCAACTGCAGCGCCCCGGGAGTGCAGGCGTGCAGCGTCCCTGCCTCCTGCTGCCTGGACCCCTGGCAGAACGGCACCGTCACCAACGCCCAGTGCGCCTTCGGGGTCCTGCGCC